TGGACACTAGTGGTCACAGAGGCTAGAGGTCAGTCAGTGGACTGCAGCCCACAGGTTATGCTCTCCTGCCTTTTTTTTTTTTTCTCCTTTTTTGTGGTACTGGGGTTTGAACTTAGCTTCATGCTTGCTAGACAGGTTCTCTATTGCCTGAGCTATGTCTCCAACCCTTTTTGCTCTGGTTATTTTGGAGATAAGAGTCTCATTTTTTGTCCAGGGTGGCCTGGACTGCGATCCTTCTCTTTTATGTTTCCTGCTGTAGCTGGGATGACAGCGATGTGCCCAGCCTTTTCTGTTGAAGTCTCATGAACTTTTCTTCCTGTTCTGGCCTGGAACTGTAGTCCTGCTGACTTCAGCCTGCTGCATGACAGGGATGACGGGCATATGACATCATTCCCAACTATTGGTTGGGAGGGTGGGTCTCACAAACTGTTTGCTCATCCTCACCTCAAATTGTGATCCTCCTGATCTTAGCATCCCAAGTAGTTCAGATTATAGGTGTGAGCCACCAGCACCTGCCTGGTCCCTTGCTCACGAGGATGGGACTTTTGTCAAATCTGGAGGTTAGCTGGGGTTCTTGAACAGACTTGGAGATACTCACAGGAAGTTTCAGTATTTCGTACCTCTGCAGAAGCCCCTTCTTTGGGATGCACAGGTGGGGAGGCCTCCACTCTGCTGGGCCTTGCAGAAGAACTGGGCATGGGTGCCTGTCCGTGGCTGGCTCTCTGCCCTCTAAGGGACTTCCCTGGTGCTGTCTTCTTGCCACTGGCCAGTGTGTTCCTGGATGGCGGTTGAGTCTACCTCCACTCTCCAGCCCTGGAATAAATGCCCAGGGCTCATGGGGTTAGTGCCACGTGTGGTTGACAAGCAGCACTGCTGACCAGGGTGAGACACTTGGATCCCCAGGAGTGGCTGGCTGGAGAAGGCATGTTCACCCAGAAGAACGCAGCAGACTCTACTCCAGGCTTTGGGCCAGGGCCTGCCCTACCAAAATAGAGGGTGTTCAGGTGGCCTCCTGGGCCTGGGTGTCTGGTTTGTACTACCAGGAGAGTTTGGTCACTGAGTGCCTTGAATGGACCAAATAGAAGTGGGATCATAGAAAAACCCTCCATGCTCTAAAAACCCTAAATCTCCTCACAGACACCATGCAGAGGAGAAGACAAACAGGACTGAGGACCAGCAAGGTAGGAAGACACTCTGATAGGACTGCTCCTGCTGCTTTTGGAACCAGGCTTAGGCCCTGGCTGCTCACCTGCAGGTGTGGGAGGGGTGGGAGTGGGGTGTCCGATCAACCAAGTCCCCCAAGCTTCTGTCCTTGTGGGCCTTTGTAGCAGCCCACTGCAGCCACCCCATCAGACAGACAGATGCCTCCGAGCCTGGAACCCCTGCACGTAATGTGGGAACATACTCCGGGTGACAATGTCCAGGGACCTTAGCTGGAACAGTACAGGTGATGGCTGGTGGCTAAGGACAGGCAGATGGTAGAAGAGGCAAGCCTCAGCTGCCCCTCCCCTCCGCTTCCCCCACAGCCGCCAGTGTCAAGGTCTAGTTGTTGACACAACACTGATACCCAGGTGGCTCTTTGGACTTGTTTTGTTTTGGAACAACACGACTGTAAGCAATGCTGCCTGGGTGTCTGCTCTCATCACCATGGCAACACAGCCATCGATTTTCTGTAGGTTCTCCCCCCCCCCCACCACCCCCGGGGCCCCGTTCCACTCTGGCTTCTTAAGTAGTGGGAGAACAGTCCTGTTTCTCCCAAGGAAGCCACTGGCTTCAGGGCAGCAAAAAGGAGGGCGGGGGTCACAGCCACCTGAGTGGAGGTCCCTTGTCTGTCTCGACTCCAGCCTGGCCTCTGTCCTCTCCTGGTGGCTCTAACAGCACGACACCCTGGCAGCCCCCTCAGCTGTCTGTCTTCGCCTAATGAGAGCTCTATATTCGTGCCTTGTTCAGGCATATGCTAATTAGCTCTCGGAGGTTCCTTTCCGCTCGGGAAGCCACCAAAATCATTGAGCATTATGGATATTTGCTTCAGAAGGTTCTGGAAGGTGATGCGTGCTCACAGCCAAGTTTGAACAGCTGACCCCTTGCCTTGGAAACCCTCTGCCACTGATAGAGGATGACAGTTTGGGCATCTCCAAAATGATAGGAATGCCCAAGAATCCAATGCTCTGGTGCCTGTAGCGGTCACTGGTGACAGTCACCAGCAGCAGGTGCCCTACTGCCAGCCTGTCTGCCCTGTTTCAGGGACTGGCATCCAGAGAGTCCGGGTCAGGTGCCTCCTGTCCATGTCCTGCAGCTCCATCTTGGGGTCCATTTCCAGCTTGTTTCCACTGGCTTCAGCCTACCAGGGAGGTTCAGAGAACATCAGCCATAACCTGAGCAGAGCCTAGTGGGGAGGTCCAGCCCCTCCTCCAATGGCACACACACCAGTGCCATGGCCTACAAGTCACGGCTTTCTCCTCACTGGTCCTCAGATGCCAGGCAGGGCTGGGGATCCCCTAGACTGGGACTCCAGTGTTCCACACCTCAGGGAAGGGTCTGACTCACCTCATTCCACCTGCCCATTCTACCTACAACCAACACCCCCTCTCCCAGGCTCTGTGCCTTGAGGGCCCAGGGCAGAGTCCAGGATGACAGAGGACCAGCCCAGCCTGCAGGATTGTCCTTGTTCCTCGACTCCCACCATCCTCCAGGCCCCTTGGGCTCCTCTGGGAGGTACAGAGCAGCTCTAGTCTGGCCTGATAATGTGGAGAGCCAGCCAGCACAGGAGCGTTTCTCCCCCTGACCCTGCACTGATCCTTGTGGTTCCCTGAGCATGTCTTGGGATACAGATGAAATCTCTCTGGCTTTGATACCCACACTTATCCGTCTGACCTTGGTGCCAGGTGGGGCTCAGAAGAGGGCAGTGCCTGCTCCAAGCCCTGTGATGCACCACCCCATCCCTGGAGGGACCTGCTCTTCAGCCAGCCTGTGGGCTGGGCTCTTTTTCTCCTCTAAGGCCTCACTCACCCTTCCTGCTCAGAGGAAGCAGGTGTCCAAGGAGTGGCTGCTCAGCGTGTGGGAAGCCATGCCCAGAGGTAACCAAGCCAAATGTCCCCAAGCCCTTGTTCTGCTAGATAGTGGTCCATCCCAGTAGCTGGAAGACCCCTTTCTGACACTTTGGGTGGCAGGTGCAACATCCACACCGAACCCTAAGGAAATAGCATCCTCTTAGGGAGCTGCTGTCTGTTGAAGGCCCAGGCCTGCAGCCCTCCCCACAGACTTGCAGTGCTTAGGGTCCATTACCTCGGTCACCCTCTGTCTGGGGCAGATAGACAATGGACTGAGATTCATGTTGGTGGGAAAGGAAGTTCTGCTGTGGGCCTAGTGAGTTCTGGAAGCCTGGGCTATTGGACCATCCTTTCAAATGTGGTGCTAGACTCCTCTCCCCATGACTGTCGCCCACCTCTTCCCCATGCCACCCAAGCTGGGGGTTAGCCACCCTGTGTGCCTCAGAGGTAGAAACCACTTCTCAGACCTTCTCTTCCACCCCGGTGAGCTTCCCTACAGCTTCTTGGGTTAGGTGCCACTTGAGTTGCCTCTCAGATGCTGATCTCCTGGAGACCTGCCCAGCTATGGTGAGCCCAGTGTTCTGGGGACCTGAGCCCCCAGCACAGGCAAATCCTGGGATTACCATACTGCACGTGGTCAAGTGGCCTTACACATAATATGCCAAGACCTGTGCTGTAGTGGCCCAGAGCTGTGCCAGCTGGTTAGCCCTGGTATCCTTACCCTGTGCAGGGTTCACTGAGCATTCGGCTTAGGCCTGGACAGTGCTGCCCTGGTAGAAATGTGTCCTTTTTCAAACCTGCCCTTGCTCCATTTGGGATCAGGAGTCTCATTTTGGTCCTGGAGGGCCCTGAGTAGAGTCTGCTACTCCCTTGCCTTTACAGGAAAGGATAGGGAGCTTGCACAGATTCTGCAGGCAGCAGTGTGCGAGGTGCTGAGCCCCACTCCCTCCCTGCCTTTTTCACAGCCTCCCAGATCCACGCTCCCCCTCAGTTTCTTGTCATCTGCAGTTTATAAGAACATAATGTAGTTTCTGGAAGAAAAAAAAAAGGTCTGAATACTGAATATTCTAATGTGCCACTGTTGTGAAAAATGCTGTGTGAGGAGACCCTCTTACATTAAAGAGACCAGAGACTCCCAGCACCCGGAGGAAAGGTAAGATCCCAGTGTGCTGGAGGCCGGGTCACTCCTCACAGTGCACAGTTAATACATTGGTATTTGTTTTAAATGCTTATAAAGCAGTTCTGATAAATAGAGTGCTTACTAAAAAGACAGAAAGGGGCAGGAGTACCCACTAAGTGCGGTGTGTGCCAAGTCAGGACAAGCTCACGGATGGCATCGGAGGGACACTGGTGCGCTGTGAATTGGGGAAGGGTATAATGACAACCTTTCTGTGTCAGGGTGGCCATGAGAGATGTAGCAAGAGGCTGAAGCAATGGGTGGGGGTATTGTCACATTGACTGCAACTAAATCTCACTTGGCTCAGAAAAGAAGTGTGCACATGTATGCATGCCTGTGTGCACCTGTGTGTCCCCCCCCCGTGTACACATGTGTGTATATACGTGTGTGTGCATACAGCACGTGTGTGTGCGTGCATGTGTACATACATACACATTAGAAGAAGAAAGCTAAAGCTTCTGCAGCCAAGGTGCTTTATTATTCTTGCAGCTTTCCCACGGGTTCCAGAGGTTGGGCTCAGAGAGAGCGGTCTGGTCATCTAAGTCACAGAGAAGAAACAGCAAAGGCGTGACTTGCACTCTTTTGATCTCCTGGCCGCTTCCCACCCTGTCGCCCCAGGGCGGTTCCTGGGAGCCCCTGGGTGTGGTTGTAGAACCTGCCCACTGCCTTCTCTAGTATTGGTGCGACAGAGTCAGGCTGTGCCTGAGGTTTCCTGGTGCACGTTGAGTCAGGCAGGATGCGAGGTCCACACCTGTGCTGGGTCTAGGGCGGGGATGAGCTACGAGGCAGAACTCACTGTGTCTGCTCTCCCTGGCCCTGGCCCTCTCCTTGTGGCCTCCATGCCGTGGTCGGCCACAGGTATCCCTGGAACACCGAAGTTGGCCACACACCCCTTGCCTTCCAGGACAACCAGAGCCTCCCACTGCCCTCCCCTCTGCTTTGCTGCAAGCTTCAGTGGTCTTCCCAACCTCCTCTTGCAGGCCAGACAGCCCGTCTCACATGTCCCTGGACTTGGGTAAAGCCACCTGAAAGTACTTGAAATCTGCTGGTCTGGGTGGGCAGCTGCTTCCACCACGCTCTTCCCAGAAGCTGTGAAAGCAGTCAGGGACAAGTGACTTGTTACACAGTGCCTGCCATCCTGTGATCCTCACCTGGGGCTTCCCTTCAGAGTCTCTGCACTGTCTTGAGGACCCTTCCTTTGAGCCGGTCTGGTTCACACTCACAGTCTTATACCCCAAGGGTGTTTGTCCTGCGTGGCTGCCCTGCCTGGCTGCATCACCCCCACACCCAGCACAGACCTGGACCCTCCTCCCGTCCCTTACTTACCTTCAACCCACGGTTAGCTCAGCGCTTCTCTCATGCTTCCATGGTGCCTGTACGTCCTTGGGTGTCTCCCATTTCTTCCCTGTGCCGGGCTCGCTAGGGACTGAATGGTGGTAGGCACTGGTTTCCAAGCTCTGCTGCTTCCCTCCATGGGCACATCTGGTCCCTCCAGCCATGGGCCAGCCCTTGCTGTGGCAGGTCCTGAGCTCCATGAGGGATTGCTAGGTACCTCCACCTCTGTTCTTAAGCACCATTTATTCTTTTTTCTTTTCTTCATTGTTTCATAAGAGATGAGATCTTGCTATGTTTCCCAGGCTGGCCCTGACCTCCTATGTGAACGATCCTCCCGTCTCAGCCTCCCAAGTAGCTGGCAGTACAGACGAACACAACACAGCTTGTTCATACTCTCAAGGAGCAGCTGAGAACTTTTTGTAGTAACAGTGACATAAGTGAATGAGGAAGAGAAGTAGATGTGACTGGGCTCTGGTGATCCCCCCCACTCAGGATCCCAGGGTTTGGCAGACTCAATCCTGCCCGGGTTGGGCCACCAACACAATACCTCCAAGCATGGCTGAGGGCACACAGGCCTGCAGCCGCCAGGAGGTTCCTCAGACCTGCCAGGAAGGTAGAGCCTCCTGGGAGTATCCGCCCGTTAGCATCTGCAACTTGCCCAATTCTTGCTTTGTCTTCCCTGTGGACTAGGAGAGTTCTGGGCAGGGATGGGGACAGGGCTGTCCCAGGAGCTGGTGGACAGGCCCTTGGAAGGGGCTGCCAAATCAGGCTTCTCCACTGAGGAGTGATCAAGGGGTGTGCAGGCTTCAAGCTGGAGGAATGCCAAGGCTAAGGGTGTGATCACCCCAGATGGTCGCTGGGGACGGCTGGGGTGAGTGAGACCCTGCAGTCTGCACGCCCCTGGGCTCTGACTGCTGGCAGACTTTCTGATTGTGTGCAAGTAGGAGACCCTCATGAATGATTATCAGATCTACACAGGTAGAACTTTGGGTTGCCATAGAACTGCTTCTTAAATGGAGCTATTGAAGCTGCATTATTTGGAATAACCCCTCATGGAAGCATCCCAGACGCTGTCAGTGAATGGTGGGCAAACAAATGTGGTCTCTCCATTCAGTGGAATATTGCTTAGCCACGAAAAAGGAGGATATTCCGACCTCTGCCACAACATGGTGGGCCTTGTGGGGAATTGTGCTCAGTGAAAGAAGCCAGATACACGAGGTCTCCTACGCATGGTCCATTTGGATGAAAGGTCAAGGCAGGGCAAGTCCACAGAGATAAAATACAGCTTGGTGGGAAGGACCATCTATCTTGAATAGATGGGGTGTGGGTTTCTTCGGAACGCAAGGAAATGTTTTAGAATGTCCCTGAATCGCTCACTTTAAAATGGTAGAAGTGGTAAATTTTACATGTGTTTCATCACAAGTTTAAAAAACAAAGCTGGCCAGGAGGAGGGTAGAATCACAGGTGTCATGTGGTGTCCCCAAGGTTCTGTGGTGCTAGACATTAATCCCAAAGGTCCTGGGATACTCAGCCCCTCTGAGGTACAACGGGGCTGCTCCTTGGGTTTCTTCCCCCTGCTTCTCTGGTTGGCTGCAAGACTGAGGATGGAGCCCTTGGAGGCCTGTGCCCCCTGATTTGGGGGCGTGTGTGCCCACCCAGCCTAGCCATCCCTAGTCAGCCCTAGTAAGAGGAGGAGACACCAGACCTGAGTTCTAAGTGTCTCCTCTGCAAGCAGGAAGCCAGCAGCCAACTGAGCAATGGAGTCATACAAGTGAGGTGGCAGGAGTGGCCAGAAGGGTGAGAAGCCTGACCAGGTTACTGTGAGCCTGTGTACCCCACTGCCCTGGGCAATTCTGCCCAACTGACCAGTTGGGTCAGTTTGGGTGGGAAACGGGCTTGGCCTAGCTAAGAGGACAGAGAAGGATCCCACCGGGTGCTGCCTGTGGGTGGGGGCTGTCTCAGAGTCACACCAGCCCTGCTGTGATTCCAAAGGAGCCAGGACTCAGTGTATATGCTCCACCAGGTGACATGTTGCTTGCCGAGCCACAGTTCTGTCCAAGCCTCATCCAACTCCAGAGTGTCTCCTGGCTAGAGGACAAGGCCCAGCCTGGGTCCTGAGGCAGTGTCCCTTCTTGTCAGCTACACAGGAGTGAGTCCCCAGGATGCAGGACTCCCTGGCCAGTTGGTTTGTAAGGAGCAAGAACGTGGCAAGTGTTCTGCGTGGTCACACGAGGCACGATGGGCCAGTGTCACACACACCATTAGGGACTGTGCTGTTCACTGTTACCTGTGAGGAGGCACATGCATGCTTACATGTATGTACTGTGTGTGATTGCTTGGCTACCCTATTGGCCTCCACCTGGCTGCTCTAGCCCCTGGCTTGTTCCAGGGGAGGGGACATTTCCAAGAGGACTGAATTGGACTCTTATAACCTCAAAATATGAGGTCGTATTCCAGGTTACGTGTTCGATAGTATCAGAACTCTTTAAAACTTAGAGTGGGGGTGACAAGCAACATGACTCACCGGTGGCTGACCTTTCGGCTACTTGACTCACACTGTACGTTGGTAGAGAGTTGACGAGGAAGGTGTGGCCTTGTTCTCTGTGTGTCTGTCTGTTTTTGTCCCAGGTGACACGCCTTGCCTGTGACACCCACGTTTGCCTACTGGGGTCTTTCTTTCCTGCCTCCCAAACTCACAAATGTTTGGATGGCTGAAACACTCCAGCCCCCAACTGCCCTGAGCCATGTTGCCCTGCCCCGCCCCGGTTCCTGTTCAGCTCTGGCCAGAGGGAGGCTGACTCACTGCCCTGGTTGTGACAGGCTTCTGCCCCTCCCAGCTCTCACATCTGCCTGTTGGTCACCTCTGTGGACACTCTCTGCCCTATTGGTCTGTCAGATGTCGGCTCTCCTCGCAGATTAACCCTGGCTCACTTGCCGTTTGCTCATCTCCCATTTCCAACCTGATTTTTCAAGTTTAGGGCTCACCTGTGCTGTAGCCCCAGGCATTGGGTCCCTGGGGATGGGCAGAGTCTGCCTCAAAAGAGGCCTCCCCTCAGCAGGTGGGCTTGGGGAGATCTGACCACCACAGAGCTCTGCCTCATGTCTCCCCAGAGTGTGGTTCCCCAATGGCCCCGAAGCCCTTCCATAGTCCATCTTTGTGGACCTGGAAAGAGTACAGGAGCAGATGAGGGCCAGTTGTTCATCTAACAGAAGTCACTGCCTGTGGCCGTTGACTGCTCCCTGATTCTCGGGGTGCTCAGCACAGTTGGAATGGGAGTGCCTTCCCTCTAGCCCACGTGGCACACCCATAGCGCTGCAGGAGTTAAGTGCCAGTGGCTGTGCACGCTCACATGCCACGTGCACATGGCTTCCTGCAGCTGCTTGTAAAATGCAGTTTAAAAATTCACTGTGTGGGCTGCCTTTGCACAGCACCGGCTTGCAGCCAGCTCAGGGCCGTGTGCACACCCGGTTCTGTACAGCTTTTCCTGGGCGTCCCCCCATGTGCATGCCCACCGTTTGGTGTGGGGCTCTGAGCTGGAGAGTCCCAGTTGGTAGGAACACTGGGGTCTACCTCTGAATGCAACAAAGCCAGGTGGAGTGGTGACGGCTGTCCCATGGAGTCTCTGACACGGTCACCTGGTCAGAACCTTGCCAGAATTGTCACACACCTTTGGCCTTCCAACTCCTATTGAAGGATTTGCAGCCTGGTGGTAGTGTTCCCCAGTGGTGTTCTTGATCGGCTTCCTAGCGAATGTGTATTTTCCATTTGAACTTGACACTAATGTGTGACTCCGGGGCCTACAGAATGTGGCAAAGCTGAGGGCACTAGACTGCAGGGAGATGTCTAGCAGGGAATGCTCCATACTTCACCCCTTTTTTGTAGACTTGAAGCCCCTTTTGCCAGCAGAGGCAGCAGCCAGAGGCCTGGGTGTCTGTGAGCCAAGGTTGAGGAAAAGACTGGGAAGGCCAAGGATTTGAGCAGGTTCCCCTGCGCAGGCCAGTCCTGGTGATTGCTGTGATCGCCTGCCGTCCCTTGGCCTTGGTTAAGGCCAATCCCCAGATGTCTGTTGGGTCCTGAGAGCAGAAGATGGATTCAAGACCCCCAAATCAGTGGAACATGATAAAACCTGGGCCCTTCCTGGGGGCTTCCTGGTCTCAAAGGCAAGGGCAGATCATCCTTGTGGGTTTACAGATACGGGAAAGCAATAGGGGACCCTCAGAGCTGCTAATGGTTCACTGTCTCCCAGCTTCTGGGTCCTGCCTGTGAACATGGGGAGGCCTGGGTTGTCTGTGTACCCTGTTCTCAAATACAGAGCAGCACCCTGATGACCAGTGGTGTCCCAGCTGAAAGGCCTGGTGGCCATGTGAGTGTGCTGGCAGCCTCTGAGGCTCCTCCTGTGGAGTCTGTGCCTGCAGACACCCCTTCCCCAGGCTCAGCGTGTTTGTCTTGGTGGTTTCCCTTCAAACAAGGTGGTGGCAGGGGTCTCCTCCTTCCCCCTATTGTCCCTGGCCCCTTCCCTGAGCACTTGGAGCTATGGGGTAAGAGTGGGACTTGGGTCCTCAGGTGCCGGCAAAACTGAGGCTTGCCTCCCTGCCCCTCAGCAGGTGGATTACCACTGGTCATTTGTGGTCACAGCTTCAGATTGTCCATTACAGGCCTCTGAAGTGGCAGCAGGTCTCTCATTCCCATGAGTGCAGTTCCTGGAGGCCATCTTCCACTGTGGTGCTGGGCCACACGGCAGCATCCAGGCTTGTGCTCATGCTGGTGCTTGGAGCTGGATGGACATAATCTCCAGTGATTGGGTGGGCACCTGTGCTGGGCTTTCTGGCCCTAGCATCTGTGGTGCTTAATAAACATTTATCCCATTGAATGAGGCAGTTTGCGTACAGCTTGAGGCAGCTGTCTTGCATGCACTTCCACCACAAAGAGCAACCTTGTGAGGAAGGTGTGAGCCAGCAGGGTGGAACTCTGACCTCTGCAGTCAGGCAGCTCTGTCCTGGTCACTGAGGACCAGGAGGCTAGTGGGCCTTCTCACATTGTGCTGATAAAGGTTGTTTATCTAAATCTTCTGGTCTTGATTCCCTGTGGTCACTGGGGTGAAAACAGCCCAGCAGCTCATGGAACCATGACATGGCTCCAGAGAAAGTGGCCTTTCCAGAGCCCAGACAAACTCCCAGGAGGGGAAGTGACACTCAGGGCTCAGCTGTGGTCCTAGGGAACACGTCATCTTTTTAGGGCTTCCTGTGGGGCTGTCAGAGGACTCGTTCTGCTTTATGGAAGATCTTGATGGGCACTGGGGGTCTTAGTGGTGCCCTGCCTGCTTTAGTTCCAAGAGACCTCTGGAAAGAAAAGACCTGTTTTGGGCAGATCTCAGGGACAGGGTTTGCCAGAAAGTGACCTGCCCTCTGGTCCATGACAGGTTCTCCTGCTCTGTCTGCAGCACATGGTCAGTGAAGGGTCCAGAAATTGCTATTCAGCAAATACTTGCCGATCAGTCACGTTTAGTCTAGACCACCGTTCCCAGCCTGCTTTGTACACAGGCAATGCAACCCTTTGCCTGGCAGGCAGGGTCCCTCATGCTGCAGGGGAGCAGGCAGCCTTCAGGGTCTTGGGGGCAGGTGCCATGCATTCCTCTGAGCATTGATTTGGAGGTGGGCTCTGTTGACTCAGACACCATCCAACTAAAAAAGAAGAAATGTGCTGACTGCATCTGCCCCACCCCCTCTCCATCCTCCCTCCTGCTCCTTTCTCTGTCCCGTCAGAAGTGGGAGGTGGGAGGCATGTGTGTAGCAGCTTGCCAGTGCTCTGCAGAATGTGGGGTGGGGGGTTTGCCCCCAACATCAAGTTGACCCAGACACCTACCCAGCCCGGAGTGAGCCCCACAGGCTGGTGAATGTGAGCTGAGTCTCATTAACATCCAGGCTGGAAAGTCTCCAAGAGCTGCTCACCTCTGCGCTGCCACAGTTTAGATGTCTCTCTTTCCCTTGCAAGTGGGCCAAGGGGAAGTTGGTGCCCCTGTAATGCTGGGGAAACATTCAAGGAGCCAGAGCTGTGCCAAGTGCTCACGACCAGGCCTCCTGCTGGGCCTCATCCAGGGCAGCAGCCTGCCTCTTAAAGGGTCTTGGGATCCCACCAGCCCTGCTGAGATTCCAGAGGAGCTGGCACTCCCTGGGTAGAAAGGGTGTGCCTGGCCACAGCCCGTGGTCCTCGGTCGGCATCTTGTAGGGCTCAGAGCCAGCCTGGAAGTTCTGTGCAGCCTGTCTTTTTGTTACCATGGAACTAGGAGGTGAGGCCCCTGGGGTCAGACAAAATGGTGACCTATGCCCAGCCTGTGTGCCCTCATGTTCCATGACGGAGCTTTGGCCACTCTTGTGTGGGGCTCTGGGCATTGTTGGCCTGGCCCACGACGGGTGGGTGGTGACTGGCATCTGAGAGACTGTGCCGTCTGCGAAGATGCGTGTTCACGCTCACAGCTGCGCCTGGGTTGAAACGTGCATACAGGCACTCCTTGTCTCTTGCCTTTGTCATTAACATCTGTTTCAGTAGACATTTGAGGTCCCCCCACACACAAGGATGCCAGGCAGTCTGTGCATGTGAGACCTGAGTCATTGTAGTCCTTTCTGTTTTCTCTTGGTGTCCCCTAGCCTGCCCCACCCCTCTGGCCCTGATCCCAGAAGCCCTGTACAAGATTACAGATTTCCCTAGGGGGATCTGGACAGAACCTCCCATGGCCCTCCATCATGGGATCCCAGTGTAGCCTGCAGCTGTCCAGTGCTTACCCTCAGAGTGGGGGCACAGGTGGTGGTGTGGGATATCTAACCTCCTTTACTTCTTTCCTTCCTGCTGTCCAGGAGATGTCCTCTTCCAGATGGCTGAAGTCCACAGGCAGATCCAGAACCAGCTGGAAGAGATGGTAAGTCTGGTGTCTGGTGTCCCTTCCTCAGGTGCAAGGGACAAGTGCAGGTAGGCAAGGTGGTCAGACATCAGTTGAAGAGCTGGTATGCTTTGGCCATGTGTTCACTTGTGATCATTCTGTAATCACGTGGCCACACTCATAGGCAGAGATGTGCCCTGGACTTGGGACACACAGGTCGCCTGAGCCATGCTCAGCAGCCCTGGAGAGGACTGGGGAGCTCCCAGGGTACAGGAGGGCCCTGGGGGAGGGGGTGTGTAGGTTGGGCCTTGGGGGCCATGTGGAGTCAGGGAGCATTGGCCCCAGGGAAGAGCTATGTGTGCCCTGTGGTAGCCCCAGCCAGGGCCTAGATTTTCTCTATTCCCCTGACTGTCAGGTTTACGCAGACCAACAAAATACACCAGCATAACGTGGAGACGCTGGTTTACAGCATCTGGTCTACAGTGAGGAGTCACTGAAGGCATCCCTGTTTCCATTCACGCCCTGCCTTGTCAGCCCCTGTCTGATCCCCACACAGGCCAGCAGAGGGATGGGAGAGGTGGCATCTGTTTCCCTGTGGAAAATAGGATCTTTGAGGCTGTGGAAGGCTAGGTTGTCTGGCATTTGGGACTTCTGCCCAGTGCCCACTCCCAGCAGTCTCCTGACTCCTTGGGGCCCACATGGCCATGAGGGGGTCCTCCTCTCATAGAACAAGCCATACCAGCATGTAAGCTGGCTCCTGCTCCCGTGCTGTATGTCAGAGCTGACTGTGGGTCTGTTTTCTCTCTCTGTCCAGCTGAAGTCTTTTCACAACGAGCTGCTCACACAGTTGGAGCAGAAGGTGGAGCTGGACTCCAGGTACCTGAGTGTAAGTGCGCCCTGCACCATAATTGTGGGCTGCCTGTGTGCAGGTTCCAGCTCCCACCTCTGCTCTTAGACCCTTCCCTCAGTCTAAAGGCTTTCAGCTACCTCTGGGCTCCCATCAAGTGAGCCCCTCTGCCTGAGTGCCCCATGGTTGGCACCTCCGCTTCTCAGCCAGTTATCATAAAGCTGATAATATAGCTTTGCTGCCCTCCAGAACCCACATGAGCACTTCTGTCCTTATCCATTTGTCCTTGCCTGTTAGTGGCAGGAAAGAGTGGGACCGTGGCTCCTGGCCATTTTTACTGGGTAAGTTTACAGTTTTACACTTAGCATCAGGAGCAGGGGTTGAGGCCCAGCTCCTTCTCCAGGCCTGATTTCCATCTTTAGGGAAATCAGCTGGGTCAGGCTGAGATCTGCAGCTGGGACCCCTCCTCCCCACTCCTGACTGCAGCCTCGCTGGGTCTGCTGTGGTCTAGAGAGCCAGGGAGGGAAGAGGAAGGGAGCAGCCAAGTGGCCCACAACGCTCATGGGCCTCTATGTTTTGCCATGGGCTCTCAGGCCGCACTGAAGAAATACCAGACGGAACAGAGGAGCAAAGGAGATGCGCTGGACAAATGTCAGGCTGAGCTGAAGAAGCTCCGGAAGAAGAGCCAGGGCAGCAAGAACCCACAGAAGTACTCTGACAAGGAGCTGCAGGTAGGTACCCCTCTCCCCCACTGCCACAAGGCTCCTCCCAGCCTCTGTGACTGATTGGGGCCTTTGTGTCCCTTTTTAGCAAGAAAAAGGCTCCCCCTGCCCCCAGCCAAGGGAGGACAAACCCCCAGGTGTGACTGGGCAGGGTCAGCACTGCCTTCCCTCTGGGTTTCCGGATGGAGAGATGGCAGGGTGCCCAGCTCAGCCCCCATTCGCCTGCCTGCTATTAGAGGTTGCTGGAAGATTCTTGGCTACAGAAACAGAAACCCAAATTAAGTCCTCCCTTTGTCCTTCTGAATTCCTGCCAAGGAGCGGGACCCCAGACTGTTACTCTAATCAACTGTGATCACCTGCCCCAGGCTGGCTGGTCAAGGGCGTCTGTGGCAAGGCAACAGATGGCCCTGGGGCTCCTAGGGCAGCTTTGCTTCGGTTTCTCTCCCCATCCTGCTAGCACTGTAGGCGCCCTGTGCTGAGTAGGCTCAGGTTTAGGACATTGTGGTCCAGAATGACACACGTACATATACACACACGTACACATACACTCTGGCCGGGGGTCCCACCCTTCCTGCTGGTAGTCAGGCTGGTGAATGCACTCCCATCTGCCCAGGTGAGTGTGTGCCACACAGGCGAATGTCCTCGTTGTACTCAGTGCCTCTGGCTTCTCCCTGGTTTCCCTCTGTCCTTGACCATGTGGAGCTGAGTGGTCTGCAGCACTGTGGCAACCTGGGAAAGCTGGCCTTGAGTAGGACACAGCCTGTGGGTCATCTGGTTGAGCAGGGCTGTTCCAAAAGAGAGGAAAGGCCTGTCATGGCAGATGAGAATAACCTGACTATCCTCACATGAAGAACAGGGATAGTAGGAAGCAGGAGGTGTCATACCCTGCTGCTAGCTGCAGGCTCTCACATGTGCATTTTTGCACAGTGGCCATAATGGCTTGTGCCTTTTCCCCATTGGCCCATTTTTTCTGGGTCCAGGTCCTTGTTTTGATCTTTTTTGTTGTTGTTGTTAAACAAATTTACACATTTTAATGTAAACCAGGGATGTCTCAAATGGTAGTGCTTCTACTGGTCTTTCAGTTCCTTCAGTCTTCTGATGGCAGACTTGGCTGTGACTGCTGAAGTGGTGGTATAGGTTCAGGCACCACCAGCCACCGTTTTCATGCAGGAACCACAGTGCCAGAGCCCCACAGCCCGTCTCGAGCAGGTGTACTTGGCATGCTGGCTGATTTCAGTTTTCTTCACCATTCTCCGGAGGGGAGGCACCATAGCGGGTCCCGTATTTACCATACGACAATCCCGACCTTCTTGGTGTGTTTAGCCATGTTGCTGCGATGTAGGCCCTAGCCAGAGAGTCTTGTTTTGATCATTTTTAATGGCCAGAGTGACCCAGGCTGCCTCTTGAGGGCATGTGCAGCCCGAGGCTGTCAAAGATGGACTTCCCTGAGCCGTCTGGTGTTCTTGAACAGGTTCCTCAGAGTGGGGCTGTGAGGTCAAGTGGCACAAACGCACACATCAATGTATGCCTGTTTCTTTTCTCTCTTTCCTTTGATGGCTTTGCGACTTTGCTCTCGAAGATTTGGCCAGCAGACAGCATCCACTGCCTGGGAGGACAGGTACCTCCTCAACATAAACACAGGCAGCGGTGCAGGTGTGACTGTGGTCGACCTCTGAGCAACTGGGCCAGGAGTTTGAGTACATCTAAGAGGGAACTTTTCTGGAGCTGGTGTGGCAGGCTGGTGACAATCACCCTGTGACTGACTGGCTAGGGGAGGGATCCCTGAGAAGAGTAGGGGCCTGCACTCCCACCTTTTTTATCCTCCTGGTCACAGCATTATGGAGGTAACATTCACATATTGTTCAGTCCAGCACGTAAAGCCTACAGCTCCTGCAGCTTTGGGGGTTTTGAGAATATCAACAGAGATGCATTCGTCATCCTAGGCAATTTTGGAGCATTTTTACCAACCTAAAAAGAACCCTGTACTCATGAGCAATCACCCTGCCTGCCCTCCCTCCACCCCCAGCCTCCCTCTCCCAGCAGCCACCAGCCTGCTCTCTGTTTATGGATTTCCATGTTCTGGATATCATCTATGGCAGCAGTCCCACACTACATGGCCTTTCCTTGCGCTGAGCTTGTTCTCACCCATGTCACACAGCGTCTGTGTGTCCTTTGTTTTCATTGCAGAGTATTGGTGCCTTCTCTCTTATGGCTGAACAGCCTTCCATCATGAGGGTATTCAGGCCCTTCCTGCTCAGGCCCTCCATCTTTCAGCTGGCCCTGCACCATGGTCAGGATCAGTAGGTGTTGCCCTAGGAGTCTCTAGCTGAGGCTGAGATTCATGACCAGGACCTGTGAGGGCCTCCTGAGGCTCAGAAAAGGGCAGGGCCAGATGGAGATGGAGGCTGTGGGCTTGATTTCCATCCTCTTCAAGACTAGTCCATGACCACCCAGTCCTGGATGGCGATATCCCACTGGGTCATCTCCTCTCTGCTTTCTCTTTCTGTTTTCAGCCCTTACTTCCCCCCACCCCAATGCCCACCACATCTGTTTCCCACACCACTGTCCTCTTCACCCCCAGTGGGCTGCAAAGCTCAGGAGGTGGGACTTGTGCTTTTTATGTGCAAGGCAGCAGCCCTTCCAGTCTTCCTGTTTGGCCTTCTCACTTGCACATGAAGAGACCTGCTGCCTCCTTTGTGTCCCCAGCCTCACAGGATCTGCCTGGGATCACCTGGGTGCCTCTTTCTCTTTGGGGCTGCTCTGGCCTTGATGGGCTACTTGGTCTTGGGTAAGGCAGAGCTCTTCGCCTCATCGTGTTAAGAAGTGGTAGCTCAGGTTGCCAGTGAGGATGCTGTAAGTGCATTGGCCACAGAACCGAAGCTGCCAGTGGCAGGGGTCAGCCTGGTGGCCTGTAGAGACCCCTCCCATGATAAACATAGGTAATCTCAAACTGAGATACCTGTCCCTTGGGCAGAGGGACTGAATGTGCCAGCTGTGGTCATTTGTGAAGTTGCGTCCCCTTAGCTATGGGCAGGTATGGAGAACAAGGGTGTGTTTATGCCCCCTAGTTTCTCTCCCCTGATTTATCAGAGCCAGAAGCTGGTGCATTTCGAAATGGTGGTGACATTATGATCAGTGGTCCCTAAGGCCTAAGGTGGTCTTTCCAGTCCCCATGGACTGGGCCTGGGAGATGGTACAATGTGAGGCTGTAAGTGACCAAGTGGTGGCCCTGGAACCTGTGATGCTTGCAGAGTTTGGTGTTGAGTGGCTGGGAGGGAGGGTTTGAGTTGTTCTGGGCACTGTGGTAGTGCCCCACTTTTGGGTATCTGTGGCCCAGCTGCCCCACTGAGAAGCCCCCATTGCCTGGCTGCTATGATGCCTTAGCCTCCTGGCCCCTGGGGCTTCTCCCTGGGGATCTCCCACTCTGATCTTCTTCCCAGGTCCGAGGGTCAGCCTCTGTCCAAGGCTCCCTTTGTCCCGTTTCTATAGCATCTCTGTGTAGCCCTAGCCAGGTCCTTCTCTGTCCCTGCCACATGGCTGTCTGCTCAGGAACTTGCAGTACCTCTCTTTGCCGCCATCTGGCCTGCAGACAGCCCTGGGCTGGCCTGTCCCCAGCTAGGGACAGCCTCCAGGTCCTCTCTGCACTTCATTTTCCTCATTTCTAAAGTGGGGGCACTCGTGCCTGCCTGCTCTCTGACCACAGACAGATAGAGCCCCTGAGACTGGATGGAGCCCATGTCCACTCCCTCAGTCACGTGTGCTCTGGCTGTTCTCCTGGACCCCCATCTTCTGCCTCTCCAAGCCCTCCCCTTCCTTGTTTCTATGGGAAACGGTGCTTAACCAGCCAAGTGTTTAATTTCTGTGATTTTCCCCAGACAACCAAGCTCCCCCTGGGAGGAGCTGGGTCCTGTGTTTCTCCTGCCTCCCCCGCTGAGTGCAGGCTGGCCCACAGTGGATAGCCCCAAGTGTCCAGTGGCGTTGATTTGTTTCTTGAGGATGGGAAGAGAGGGCACCAATGAGGGGTATGTTTCCTGCTTCCCCCACCAGAAGCCCAAGAGGCCAGGCTGGGGTGCCCTTACAGTTCCTTACACCACATCTGAGTTTGAAGGTACAGGGTACTTGGCATACAGCTGTCCTGGGTCCCTCTGAACTTGGCAGGAAGCATGCTGGCCCGCTGACCAGGGTGACCTTCCTAGTAGTCTTGCTGGGATGCCCCACCTGCCAGGCTGCTCAGGAACACTTGCCACTGGGAAAGTTCCTGCTGGCTCAAGTGCCTTTCCAAAACTGGCCAGGGGCCAGGGTCTGACTTCTGCTTCGGGGTGTGGCTGCTAGGGGCTGGGAGAGCCCTGAGGCCTTTCAGTGTGGCAGCACCTTACCCTTTGAAGGGGAGGAAATGCCTGGGCCTGTAAGCTCAGCCCAGCCAACTCTGCTGTGGCTCCACCCCCACTTGACCCCTGCAAGCCATCCTGCCCTCTGTGCCCCGCCCTCATGCTGACTTCACAGGGTTTTTGTGGGTCTGATTACCAGGGAAAGGGCCTTTGCTTCCAGGAGGAAGTGCAGGATTCTTTTTCCTGTGTTTGTCCATTTCTTAGTGGCTCACTGCTTCCCAGCTGGTCTGCAGGTGGGCCCAATAGCTGAGTCCACAGTAGGACCTCCAGCAAGACTGTAATTCACAGCGCTGCCCTAGAGACTGTGCCTGGCCCTTGAGACACGGCAGCCACTAGACCTGCCTACTCTGTGCTCATCAAGCCTCTGATGTGTGCCCACAAGGGTGACCTGCCACCCGGAGGTTGTTCCCAACCCTAGGGCTGGGAGAGGCAGAGGTGCCCGCACACTGCCACTTGGGTAGGATTCTAGCCTCTTGGGGCTCCTGGGGCTACTTCCTTGAGTTAACCAGGGTGGTGGGGAATTGGACTGCTGGAAGTGGAGGTGGCCCCATGCTTTAGGGTAGCCTAGATCCATCCTAGGCCTGGGGCATGTGTAACAAAGAAGTAGAGGCTTTCAGGTTG